AATTTTTTTTTAAACTCCTGCATATATGCCTGATTTATTTCCCTTAACATGATGTCTTCCAGGCTCATCCATTTTGCTGGGAGTAACAGGATTTCATTTTTCTTTATGGCTGAATAGTATTCCATTATGTATGTACACTACATTCTTTATTCATTCCTTTGAATGAATAATAGGTGTTTGATGCCATATCTTGGTTATTATTATTATTAGTGCCGTGATAAACATGGGGTGGTGCAGATGTCTCTGATACACTGATTATCTTTCCCTTGGATCAATACTCAGTAGTAAGATTGCCGGATCATATGGTAATTCTTAGTGTCTTGAGAAATCTCCATATTATTCTCCATAGTGTCTATTAATTTACATTCTCACCATCAGTGTATAAGAAAGAGCTCCCCTTTCTCTGAATCTTTACCAGCATCTGTTAATTTTCTCTTTTTATAATAACCTTGTAACTGGAGTAAGATAAATATCTCATCAAAGTTTTGATTTGCATTTCCCTGATGATTAATGATGCTAAGTATTTTATTTTATTTTATTTTATTTTATTTAGCTGTTATTAATGGGATTACCTTCTTGATTTTTTTCCTAGCTAGTTTGTTATTGGTGTATAGAAATGCTACTGATTTTTGGTATGTTCATTTTGTGTCTTGCAACTTTACTGAATTTAACAGTTTTATCAGTTTTTTGATGCAGTCTTTAAGTTTTCCCATATAAGTTTATATTATCTGCAAACAGGGACAGCTTGACTTCCTCTTTGCTAATGTAAATGCCCTTTGTTTCTTTCTCTTGCTTAATTACTCTGGCTGGGATTTCCAGTACTATGTTGAGTGTGGAAAGTGGGCATCCTTGTCTTGTTCTAGTTCTTAGAGGAAAAGCTTTCACCATTTCCCCATTCAGTATGATGTTAGCTGTTGATATGTCATATGTGGTCCTTGTCGTGTTGAGGTATGTTTCTTATATTTATAATTTATGGTTTTATCTGGAAGAGATGTTGAATTTTATCAGATGCTTTTTCTGAGCCTATTGAGATGATCATAGGATCTTAGTTCTTCATTCTGTTGATGTGATGTGTCACATTTATTGATTTGCATATGTTGGACCATCCTTGTATCCCCAAGTTAAATCCCACTTAATCATGGGGAATATCTTTTTAATGTGCTGTTGAATTTGGTTTGCTAATAGTTTCTTGAGAATTTTTGTATCTGTGTTCCTCAGTAATACTGGCTTGTAGTTTTCTTCTTTTATTGCATCCTTGTCCGGTTTTGATATCAGTAATGCTGGTTTTGTAGAATGAATTAGGAAGAATTTACTCTTCGATATTTTGGAATAATTTCAGAAGAATTGGTGTAGTTCTTTAAAAGTTTGGTAGAATTCAACAGTAAAGGTATTCGGTCCTGGGTGTTTCTTTGTTGGAAAACTTTTTAATACTTATTCATTTTTGTTATTTGTTGTTAGTCTGTTAGAGTTTTCTATTTCTTTTTGGTTCAGTCTTCATAGGTTATACATGTCTAAAGGTGTATCTACTTTCTCTGGGTTTTCCAGTTTGTTGGCATATAGTTGTTCATGGTAGCCTCTTATGATCTTTTCTATTTCAGTGGTATCAGTTGTAATGTCTCTTTTTTTTGTCTCTGATTTTATTTATTTGGGTCTTCTCTTTTTCTTGGTTAATCCTTGCTAATAGTCGGTCAATTTTATTTATCCTTTCAAAAAACCAGCTTTTCATTTTCTTGATCTTTGGGGTGTGTGTGTATGTGTGTGTGTACACACAACATATGTGACATGTGTCATATGTATATGTACATATACACAACATGCATTCGTGTACATATATACACACATATACACATTTGTGTGTATGTATATATAATCTATTTCATTTAGCTCTGATCTTTATTCTACTACTTTTGGGTTTGATTTGTTCTTGCTTTTCTGGTTCTTCGAGGTGGATTGTTACGTTGTTTATTTGAAATCTTTTTGCTTATTTGATGTGGTCATTTATTTTGCTTTATTCTTCCCTCTTAGTACTTTAGCTGCTGTATCTCGTAGGTTTTGGTATTTGGTGTTTCTGTTTTAATTTTTTCCAAAAATTTTCGACTTCTTAATTCAGATTCATTTGTCATTCAGGAGCCTGTTGGTTAATTTTCATGTATTCGAACAGTTTGCAAAGTTCCTCTTATTATTGATTTCTAGTTTTATTCCACTGTAGTCTCAGAAGATGCTTGAAATTAAATGACCCCAGTACAAATATTTAAAAATTTGTTGAGACTTGTTTTGTGGCCTCACACATGGTTTATCCTGGAGACTGTTCCATGTGCTGATGAGAAGAATGTGTATTCTGCAGCTATGGAATGAAATGTTCTGTAAATGTCTGTTAGGCCCATTTGGTCTATAGTGCTGTCCGAGTTCAATGTTACTTTGTTGGTTTCCTGTTTAAATCAGGACTGTCCAATCTTTTGGCTTCCCTGGGCCACATTGGAAGAAGAATAATTGTCTTAGGCCATACATAAAACACTAACGATAGCTGATGAGCAGGGGAAAAAAAAAGCATTTACAAGTTTGTGTTGGGCCGCATTCAAAGCTGTCCTTGGCTGCATGCAGCCCACATGGCACAGCTTGGACAAACTTAGTTTAGATGATCTGTCCAATGCCAAAAGTGGGGTAACATTTAATAGTTGTTTTGATGTATCCTCCCAGAAAAAAAAAAATTATTCTTGCACTAGCATGTGTATGTGTTTGTATGTACATAAAACCGTCAGTTCTGTTTCAAAAATTTAGTAAAACCATGTGTTTCTTGGAATTTCTTTTACCTGAGTGGACTCATGTAACATATCTGCAAGATTTTACAAGTTGGTTAATTGCTACATTGTGGTAAGATTATTTGTTTATGTCAGTTCTTCCCCATACATTTATTAGGGCATAATGAGTTCCTGGCTGATGCGCGAGTTCCTTCATTCATTCATTATCTTCCCCATGGTCTTATTGCAACTGGGATTGTATTTATTCTTGAGTTAGAAGGCTTTCTTCTTAAATACCTCTGAGAAGTATGAAATAATATGTACAAAAAATAAGTATATAAATATTAGTGTATCATTGTGCAGATTCACATGAAGAAAGGAAAATCCAAAGATAAGAAAACTTTTTATATCTGTGATTGTTTTACTATTTCCTAGGATTGTGTGTATACTAGTTATCTTTGTTCTGGGGCAACACTTTGCCCCATTAAAATCTTAAGCTTAGACCCCAAGAAGTCCCTAGATTTCTTGTCCCCTAAGGCAGAGGTATTTGGCAGAATTTTCTGTGATGATAGACATGTTCTATGTCTGTGGGGTCCAATATAGTAGCCATAGACACATATGGCTATTGAGCATTCAAAATGTACCAAGTGTAACTGAGGAACTGAATTTTAAATTTTATTTAACATTTATTTCAAATAGTCACAGGTCACTGACGGCTGCTGTATAAGACACACAGTTCTAGAGGGTTACTGGATTCCTTTAGGAGCAAGAAGCAGTAGACCCAAAGTGCAGAAGACAAAGTTCTTAGTCATACAGGATTAATTACTCAGTTCAGTGTGCATGCATGTAAAGTATGGGTACATAACCGCATTTATTGCTTTCAGTAACTCTGGCTTAGCGGAAGTGTGTACTAGGTCCTTTGAATAATCTCAGTGTCTTAAAATACGAAACTCAGAAAAGGTTTATGAAAAGATTCTTACCTTTTAATAACTGGTATTAAATAGGTCTCTATCAGAGAGAAGCTCCTTTGCAGTACAGAATATACTGAATGTTATTAGCAGCCCTGAGTGTTTAGTATTCACAGTGTAACTTAATAACCAATATACATTAAAATACCTTGTGATTATAAATTATTTTTTATAGCCTGGACAGGGGAAAATAATGAAAAGTGATAAAAAAAAAAATACTCTTCTGCATTCCTAAGGATAAATCAAATAGGAGTGCTCCTTTTAAAATATGCAGCATTTAAATTTAATAGCAGGCCGTATGCAGTGGTTTACACCTATAATACCAACACTTTGGGAGACGGATCACTTGAGGATCAGAAGTTCAAGACCAGCATGGCCAACATGGTGAAACCTCGTCTCTACTAAAAAAAATTAAAAAATAAAATAAAATAAAATAACCAGGCCTTGGGGCACATGCTTATAATCCTAGCTGCTAGGGAGGCTGAGGCAGGAGAATCTCTTGAACCCAGGAGGCAGAGTTTGCAGTAAGCCAAGATTGCACCACTGCACTCTAGCCTGGGTGACAGAGCAAGACTCCATCATTAATTAATTAATTAATTAATTCAATACCAGCAGTTCAATTTCTGTTTGGGAAAAGAGAATTTATTTGAAAATGTGACTATGGATTTGAAAAATAGTATTCTGAACACTCTATGCACTGGATATCATTTTCTAGTTATTTTATGGTCCATTGGAGAGGTAACATTTAAAAATGTTACAAGCCCAAATAAATTCAGAAAATGGCAGCCCATTATGTCCCCCTCTTGAGTATTCACAGGATGTATTAGCAATAGTAAGGACTGGAAGAAGTCCTATAGTAAAGAAATCAATTTAACATTGTTTAGTGTTTAACCCAGTGTTTTCCAACTTGAGGTTAGCACGGAATTTTTCGTGTAATACCTGTAAACATCTTGAAGAATACAGTTTTGGAAAAAATTCAATAATTGACCCTTCAAATCTAAACATTGAGAAGAATCTTATGGAAGACACCTACCTAGTTCAATCTTTTATGGGATTTCTGTAATCTCCCTGGTAAGTATTTAGCATCTGCTTGAACACCTCTAAAAGCAGGAAATTTAATTCTTTTACAATTCTAATTGTTTCAGTGAGTTCTTCATTATGTAGCACTTGGATCTTCTCTCCCATGGCTTCCAACTAGCAGTACTTCTCTAGAGAACCTGCAGGTAAAAATATTTTAGTCAAACATGGTAACTGTATGCCTGAATACTCTTGCCTTTCTTACTTTATTTCACAGGCACCTCTGTGGGCATATATTGCTTGTGCCTGTGGCCTTTTCATTTACCAGTCTTTGGATGCCATTGATGGGAAACAGGCAAGAAGAACCAATAGTAGTTCTCCTCTGGGAGAACTTTTTGATCATGGCTGTGATTCACTATCAACAGGTATTGTTGCTTTTTTTTAATGTTATTGATTATTAACAATGATTAAAGCAATGTGATGAGCAATGTTAGAATATATGTTTAGTTATCAGAATAGGTAATTTTGTATTAAATTTTAGTATTTCTTGAAAGACTATGAACCTAGTTAATATTTGTTCATTATTAGTAGTGTTAGGGAATTTAGAAGTTAGTTTCTGCTTGTTATTTTTAGCCCCAAATACTGTTTTGGCATCTTTTGTTTTTCAGAGCTTGGGGCATAATTGTTATCATCAATACTCTTATGAACTATAAATGAGAGTATAGTGGTAGGAGACTAGTTAGGTTATTTGTAGTCTTTGTATATTTAAATGAATGTTATATAGACATGTAGTTTTATGTTATAGATTCGGATTATGACTATGTCATGAGCTCAGGTAAAGACTACTACAGGCTGGTCAAGGTGGCTCACACCTGTAATTCCAGCACTTTGGGAGGCTGAGATGGGCGAGTCACGAGGTGAGGAATTTGAGACCACCCTGACCAACATGGTGAAACCTCCTCTCTACTAAAAAAAAAAAAAAAAAAAAAAAAGACTACTACAAATGAGGAGTATTGTTAATATTGCATTGTGTACTAGAAATTTGCTAAAAGAAAGTACATTTTAGGTGCTTTTACCACAGGAGAAAAAAAGATAACTGTGGGACATAATGGATAGGTTAATTTGCTTAACTATAGTAATCATTTATATATATTGCATGTTTTATACCTCATATACAATTTTTAAAAGAAATACTAAAGTGCTAGCAATAACTGAGTAACTCTATTTGGATTATAAGCAATATGTCTTTATTTGCACTGTTTTGCAAGTTTTTAAAATAACAGTTTATTCTGTTTTCAGAGGGGAAAAAGATATTTAGACACTAAATGACAGTTTTTCAACTAGTCTTCCTGACAGGAACTCATCCCTCCCCTCTTATTTTTGTTTTATTTAGTTCCTCAATTATTTTCTTGTTATTTGGCGTGGCACTTAAAATACTTAAAAAGAAACAAACAAAAACCCCTCATAGGGAATTCAGATTTGCAGGTATAGGTGCTTGTCAAAATCATTGCTTCAGCATATCCTAACAGCAGCGTATTTAGTAGAGGAGGAGAAGCAACTAAGCGCATATAATTTTTAAGAATCAAATTAAGAAATATTCTAAACTTCTGTTGAATAAATAGTAGTTGGCTGTCTTGAAAGGCAACAACCAGCCGACTGCAAGATGGCAGGTATCCTGTTATTTATTTTAAATGGCAGTCATTTTTTCGTTGTAGTTTGAGTTCTAGAATTTTATAGGAAATCTTTTTTTTTTTTTTTTTTTGAGATGGAGTTTTGCTCTTGCTGCCCAGGCTGAAGTGCAATGGCACAATCTCAACTCACTGCAACCTCCGCCTCCCAACTTCAAGTGATTCTCCTGCCTCAGCCTCCCTAATAGCTGGGATTACAGGCAACTGCTACCTTGAGCCAAGCTAATTTTTTATGTTTTTAGTAGAGATGGGGTTTCACTATGTTGGCCAGGCTCGTCTCGAGCTCCTGACCTCAGGTGGTCCACCCGCCTCAGCCTCCCAAAGTGCTGAGATTACAGTTACGAGCCACCATGCTTGGCTCCAGGAAGTATTTTTCTATGTATGTTACTCAAAACAATATCTGTTAAAAAAAAAAAAATAGTTATCAATCTGAAGCAAGTAAGTAGGTCCCCCTGGGGATTATATAGCCCCTTTGTTTTTCTTTCTTTTTGGCTCTGCCTTGTAATGTTTTGCTGCTCATTAGTACTAATGTCTCTAAGTTAGAAAAATATATGAAGAAATGCTAAAGTATTTTAGTTGCCTTCAAGAACTTTGCTTCTGCTGAGTGATTTGGTTAAAAAAAAAAAATTGAAATTATGGGGTAAGAGATTATGTAACAGATTATATCCTACTTTCCTGTTGCAATAGATAACTGAGAGAAGCTTGTGCATTCACAGCATATCTTTTCGTTTCATCTAAAATCATTGTTATTCATTTTATTTGGTTTTCATTGTGATCTTTCTTCTGCAGTTTTTGTGGTTCTTGGAACTTGTATTGCAGTGCAGCTGGGGACAAACCCTGATTGGATGTTTTTTTGTTGTTTTGCTGGGACATTTATGTTCTATTGTGCACACTGGCAAACATATGTTTCTGGAACATTGCGATTTGGAATGTAAGTAATACTTAATGGTAATTTTGTTTTCTCTTTCACATGTGGAGAATGTTGCTTTATTAGCATTTGAGTATTAGAAATCGATCATATCGTTGTTAGTTTAATAAAAAAAAATTTTTAACTTCACTATTGTAGCTATTTCCTAATAGTCTCTGCATATGTCCCTCTGTTACACTTTTTTAAAAGGAGATATCAGAACCTCCCGGCCAGTATTTTAAAAGTAATACAAAAAGCAGTAGCCCCTCTTCTTTGTCTTTCCTGTAGAAAAATTCACTTCTTTTCTCTACCATTATTTACCTTAATTCCATTTTTATTTTGACATATAAGAATGCATTTCCAGGGGAAAAAAAAAAAAAGTTTCTGAGAGCAGTGCCCTAATCCAGTCTTAATTTTTAGTGTTTCTACTGTTTTCAAAAATGGCATATTTATAATATCTGGATTTAACGTTATGTTTCGTTGGTTATTATCTCACATTTCACTTTCAAGGCCGATTTTGAAATCTAATTTATCAGTCAGCCCTAATATATTCTCTTTCCCTTTCAAGTAATACAGCACCAACCAAACAAAATTAACCATGCAAGTAAAAGAAGAGTAAATAGTGTTTTTAGGAGTGATTTGATATTACAGCTTTCTATCTTCCAGTCTTTGAATTTCCCTTATGATGTTATCCTGTGATGAAATATGTATTTAGAGAACTGTAAACAACTCCATATGGTTGGATGATAAGATGCCTGCAGGAGATAAAGCTGGAGAAGATCCAGAAAATCAAGGTCCTTCTGTGCTCTGCCAAGAAATGTGGGCTTTTATCCTGAATCTGCAGGGATCTTTTGTAGGACCTAAAGCAGGGAAATGATAGAAGTGCCTTTTAGAAAGATCAGTCTGGCAGTGAGGCAGAGGGTAAATTGTAGTAGGCTGTGACAGAGCAAGGAGACCCGCTAGAAGAAGCATCAGCATAATTAATGTGAATGATGAAGCATTCACTAACACAGTAGCAGTGCTGTTGCAGAGACGTTAGTCTGGAGAGAGACTTTAGAGGTAGAAACTACAGGGCACAGTATATATTTGGATGTGGGGAATAAATGAGGGGACAGAGAGTGGAATGACTCCCCGTTCCCTTCTTAAGTGGCTGGATAAAGGTAGAAAAAGGCACTATAGGAAGAGGAATGTATATAAAAGGAGCAGTCTACCCAGAAACATATGTGGGGGATTTTAGACATCCAAATAAAATGAGAACAGGAAAAAACTTAGAGAGCAAGCTTAGAAAGAAGCTCATGAAATTTATTGAACAGCCAGAGTAGTAGGAGGCATACTGGAATGTAAAACCAGAAGGATGCATTTCACAAAAGAACGTTGCTAAATGCTGCCAAGACTCAAAATGAGGACAGAAAACTGTACATTGAATTTGGCAGTATGAGCTATTCATAGTAATTTCTGTGTAATGCGGGGTAGAAGCCAGACTGTAGGGGATAAGAAGTGAATGGAGCAAGTAAGTAGTCTACTATTTATTACACATTATATAAGATTACTTATAAAATGTGTGACTGTGATGTGAAGGAGAGAAGCATTGATTAGAGGAGAGAATATGGGCTCAAAGGAAGGAGGGTTTTGTATTTTTATGAGAAAGTTTTGAGCATTCAGAAGAAACCTGCTAGAGAAGAGATTGAAGATACTGAATAAGAAGAGAGGGAATGATTTATAAAACCACAGCCAAAGATATAGGATCAAAGGAGATCTAGGGTAAAAGGTAGAGTAAGTAGAAGAAAACTCTGCCATTGACCCTAGAGTGCTTGCTTATAATGGCTGATGGGACTAAAAACACTAGATATATTAAGATCTGTTTGAATGTAACATATGAACTTAAATATTAGTATTAGAAAACATTGGTTTTAATTTGGGAAATTGTATTCAATTTTCAGAAATTGTACAGTTGCATTGAAGGAACACCAAATTTGATTTTTTAACTAAAAGCAGGCTATAATGTTCACAGAAATGTGCTGTGGCGGGGCATGGTGGCTCATGCCTTTGATTCCAGCACTCTGGGAGCCTGGGGAAAGAGGATCACTTAAGCCCAGGAGTTCAAGACCACCCTGAGCAATATAGACCTGGTCTCTACAAAAATTTTTTTGAAAGTTAGCCAAGCATGGTGGTGCACGCATGTGGGAGGATCACTTGCGCCCTGGAAGCAGAGGTTGCAGTGAGCGGAGATCGCACCTCTGCACTCATCCAGCCTGGGCAACAGAGCAAAAACCTGTCTCAAAAAAAGAAATGAAAAGAACAAAAAAGAAATGTAGTGTAAGTGCTCTACATTAGGGAGCCATTTATCAAAACAGCAATGTAACAGAGGCATATAAAATAAATAGAGATATACATATAGATACATAGAACCTACAGACTATATATATCCCTAAGGACTTAAAAATACCAGTTTACATTTTACATATTTTTTTCATGAGCATGTAGAATAGACAGATGTATAATAGATTAAATATTGAAGTGTTAATTATTAAATATTGAAGTTTGTATGCATGGAGAAGAAAGTCAAAATTTGGTCAGCTCTGAAATGTAGTTTGAGTAAAGAAATTTTTAAAAATCACTTGCATTTTCTTACTCTTTTCTAGAGAAAAGTGAATGCAGCTTTAAGTACCTTAGGCATCTTATTTTTAAACATTTTTATTTATTTGAATTGTTTTATTTTGATTACATACATAAGTGAAAAGAATCATGAGAATTTCTTTTTTATTTATAAAAAAATTGTTTTACTTTTAATAACATAAAACAGAATGTTTGCCAGATAAGAAATTTCTGTTCCTTGGTCTCTTTAATATTACTATTTTTAATTGCTATTAAGTTTGCTTATAGTATCTTGAACAAAAATAGTCACAGGATTTTAATTCATCTATAAAAATAATTCTCATTGAAGTCTAGCATTTTGATAAAGCAAATGTGCTTTGGATACATCTTTCCTGAAATTATGAGCTACATCTTCCAGCAGTGTGCTCTGATCACAGCTAAAAGCTACCTTGCAGAGAGAATGTTAGTGCCTGTGACATCTAGACAGCCTCCTGTTCTCACAACACCCCTGGATTGAACAAGTAGAGATCTGACAGAGATGAGTACTCTTGTCTGGGACCCTTCCAGACTCAGTCCATTAGGATTTTTACTAGCCTGAATATGAAAGACTGGGAACGAAAATGGGATTAGAAACTAGAATTTCATGGGATTGGATTGTAGAAGGTAAATATGAATCAAAATTGATTTATCAACATTTGCAAAATGTTGATGCATGTTGATCTCTTTAAGATGCATAAGAATTATACTGAATGAGAGAGTTTACATTTAAAGGCCTAAACCCCCTATATTAGTTTTTTTGTTTGTTTGTTTTTTTGAGACGGGAGTCTCGCTCCGTCACCTAGGCTGGAGTGCAGTGGCGTGATACCAGCTCACTGCAACCTCCACTTCCTGGGTTCAAGCGATTCTCCTACCTCAGCCTCTTAAGTAGGTGGGACTACAGGCATGTGCCACCATGCCCTGCTAATTTTTTGTATTTTTAGTAGAGACAGTGTTAGACTGTATTAGCCAGGATGGCCTCGATCTTCTGACCTCATGATTCTCCTGCCTTGGCCTCCCAATGTGCTGGGATTATAGGCATGAGCCACCGTGCCCGGCCTATATTAGGTATTTTTAAGTATATAACTTATAGCTGTATATATAGAATCATTTCTATAAATTAAATGCTCAGAAATCCTAATCGGTCTTTAATAAAACTATACTTACACAAAATATCAGTCCCAAAAAAAAAAAAAAAAAAAATCTATGCTGTGAAGGTGGAACTCACTTAAATTTATCATTTCAGGAACAAAGTACTCTTCAATTGTGTTTTCCAAGACAAAAAAAGAAATAATAAATGTTAATCTCTAAGTTATCTTTTTTATATATCAGCTTGGGCAAGCCTCATAACTTTCATGGACCTCATTTCCTAATTTGTAAAATAAGCTTTAGATTAGATGACCTATAAGGTTCTTTCTGTTAATAAAGTTTATGAGCCTCTTAACTCTACACAGATATTTTTATTACAAGTGTTCTTATTCATAATTATAGTAGGCAGAGTATTGATCTTCACCTTTATTACATTTTTCAGCTCATGATTCTAAAGTTTCACATTTACATTAGCTAAAAACCCTGTCACCAAATGTTTATTTCTATGTAAGTAAGTAGCTTCCCCCTCTTTCTTTTCTATAGTTAAATGAAAAAAGTTAATAGGCTATATATTCCACTAGGTAGTCTGACAAATTTAGTTCATCTTTTTATCCAGGTAATTTCTAAAAAATAATTATTTGAAGACCTCTTGATAATAAAAAAACTGTTGTTTGTTAATGTATAATCCACTTTCTATGGATTAAGAATTGGGAAACTTTCTCATACCTGTATAGAATCTGTTTATCTTTAAATACCTAATACTTATCACATGAATTATTAAATACCAGAGATTTTCCTCCCAGTTTCCAATTTCCCTGTGTAGCTTTTTTTCCAGCAGTGATTTGTTCATTTGGACCTCAGCTCTGTTCATTTAATTTTTTTTATCAATTGTCATAGATGATGTCCTAAATCAACCATTTGTATTAATGTAAAACCTAGATTGCAATTTGGCCTCTCAGATCACCAGGTAAAATCATGGACATCTTACTCTCTCATTAGCATTCCTCAGTTCTTAATTTTTATTTAAGTAGTTTTTATTTATAGTTTAGTCTGTACTGCTACTTTTTTTGTGTTATTAGCTGCGTTCCCAAACTTTTTAAGCGATTGAACTGGATGTTCTACTTATTTTTATCACTAGTAAACTAATCCAAGGTAGTAGAGTATTATAATGCTGGTATGGAATTAGGGAAGAGAAAGAGGAAACAGGAAAAGTTCTGGACTGTAGATGGTCAGGAAATAGGATAAGGAGATGGCCAATTTGATTTTTGCTCTAACCATATCCAAAGAGAAGTTACTCTTGATTA